TGTAAAAACCCCGTGTGTCTAGCATTACTCATCTATTGTAGACGCAGCACCGCTCCCTCTCTCCACCTTACCCCCAACTAAACGTGTTAGTCCACACGTATTTTCCCCAAGCGATATCCATACTCTTCCTCCTCAGCTATTTTCCTTCTATTCCAAATCCTTCCTCCCTCTCGCACGTCCAATCCAGCTCCACTTAAAGCTGCAAGAGCTGCCGCCCGCCGCACCGATGATCAATGTCAGCGCCGCCTTACCATAGTGTAGCCTTGGAGCGCACGTTGAGGTGTTGCAAGCACTACAACCCACCGCAACTGCTATGAGCACGACACCACCCGTTGCCGCTAATGCAAGCGGACCACATGATGTTGACACAGCCGAGGCCGGGGAGGGCGGCGGCGTCACCAAAGAAGATTAGCATGACGGGGGGTCTCCGGGAAGCAATCAAACCGATGACACTTATGATCTGCAGGGAAGGCACAAAGGTTAGGGAAGGGACTTGTTACAATTGCAAGAGGGGTCTTGTTGCAATGGTGTCAGACACTACTGAGAGCCGCATATGCTTTTTGCAAGAAGAGTCCAATTGCAATGGTGATGTTGACGACCACGAGCCGGAGATGCTTCTACAACAAAGGTCATGTTGCAATTGCAATAAAGGTCTTGTTGCAATGGGGGCACAAAAACGAGGGGAAGAGGCCTCGTACGGTGAGTATAATATATTGGACGGCTCACGACCAGCCGATCCTTATAAGATCAGTCGGCTGATGCGTAGCACGACCAATAACAAAATGCGGGGAAATATAGTTATTATAGATGTCCTTCACATAATTTGCTCTGTTTTCATCCATTGCGGAGTACATTTTACCAATGAAAGATATTTTTCCAAATCCTTTTATGTTGAAGGTGCAAATAAAATATGTGATACAGGGAGGCAAAATAAAGTAATGCGGGCATCATCTTGGGAGCCATACATCGGCTGGAGGGACAAATGTTTGGCTTCGGTGACTGGGCGCAGGTCCCCGCATACTTCTCGTGCAGTGACTAAGATGGAGCGGCATGACATCTATGGCATCGATGGTTAGTCTGGATGGCATGGTGCAGCGTGGTCTCGGCCAGTGGCGGATCCAGGATCTCATATTTGGGTGTTCAATTTTGTTTTTGCAGGTTTCCCAAGAAAAAGAGATCTAATATCTAAAATGTTCATGTAGCAAGAACTTTTTTCCATCAAAATGATAATACCTTATAGAAATAACAAAAGAAATAAGGATTATTTACTACATAATCATGCAGTTGATGATCACATAGGCATTAATATACAATGCATCTGATTATCTGAAGACGTGACTGCATCAACGTGACATTCTCTCACGTGCCCTTGTCTCAGTCTCACGTTGCATGGCTGCATGTGCTTATCTAGAGGAGTTAGCTACGGAGGCAGTTAGCGTAGTGGCCGCGCTCTGCATATATAGATGTACTCACTCGACAGATGAATGGATATAGTTTCTGTCGCTCTCGTGCTCTCCCTTCTCTATATATAAAAGTTTCTAGCCAACAAATTTGGGTGTACATCTGTACACCCATGACCAACTGTGTATCCGCCACTGGTCTCGGTGCTGACACTGTTTGATGGGTGTGTGTAAGAGGGTGGCGTTGTATGGCGCCGCATCGGCGGCGCCAGGGGTATTCACTTGTATTCAAATGAATACCCAAGATTTGGCCTAAAAAAATTAATACATGTCTTTTTTAGCGGCCCACAGCCCCCACACTCGCCCCGTTCACGCGATCCAGACCCTAGCCGGCCGTTCCCCAAGTCCCCAACCTAACCTAGCGGCGGCGACCAGTACTGATTGCAGGCAGCGGCAAGCGGAGCCGCTGAACGGGCGACCAGCGGCAGGTCGGCAGCGGACCAGGTTCTATTCTCCTCTTCTCCTAGTTCTAACTTCCTAATTCATATGGGCTCATGCGGCAGCGCCTGGTCAAATTGTAGCAGCGCCTGGAGCATCACGGAGCGAGCTACTGCTGGATTTGTCCTAGTTCCTAATTCCTAATTCCTAATTCCTAGTTCCCGATCAAATCACATGCTCCTAATTCCTAGTTCTATTATCTGTAGGTGGATTTGTAGTGCAGTCAAATTGGACAAATTGCTGGTAGTGCTGGATTTGAATGCAACGAGCTACTGCCTACTAGTGCTGAATTTGATTAGTCTTAAGGTGGGTATTCCGGGTTAAAGTTTTGGAGACAAATTGTTGCTTGTGTTGCTGTCAAACATGCACATCACTCTGCTACTGCCTACTGAGTGCGCGAAAATATTATTGGTTGAATAATTCGGTACAACTCCTCTACTATGCATGATGTTGTAGAATGATTTTTCTGTGGCAGGACAAATTGCTTGTGCTGTAAAATGCATTCATATTCATTTGTTTGGTTCATATACTACATTTAGAGCCAAAAAAATTTGGATGAATACCCAGCCTTCATTTCCTGGCGCCGCCACTGTGACGCCGTGGTGACATCGACGACAAAAGAGGTATGGCAAGATCAATACATTGAGCATGCTTAAAGATGGGACGAAGGAAGATGGTAACGACGGATTCTAAAGAGTGTACATGCGGTTGGTGCTCCTGACTAGCAGGCAGACTGTTTGGTGAGGCCACCGGTTAATCGGTCTGGTTGCGTGCAAATCGAGCAGCCGTGGTGTACGTGCGTATATCTCGCCGGACCAGTCATCAAAGCTTTGCTTTGCTTCGTCGCCGTCGGTGCCGGAAGTGCTCGAGGCTGGGCCAACCGTGGGCGGGATGGGAATGCCTATGCACGTCCCCTCGCTATTTTAAAAATATTATTTAGGATGCAACCTTAATCAATAACGCGTGCCATGTTTTTCTTTCATACCAGTGCGGATCCAGATTGCAAATGAAAACCTCAAGAAAATGAGGATTGGACACAAAAGAACTCATCTATAACAACGCATGTGCGTTTCGTCAAAATCTCACAGGAAAAAGTAATTTTGTTTCTCATCTTATGCCGAGGGAGGGACGACTTGGGATTGACAAAACTCAAACGTGTTGCGATTGTGTGAGCACCGAGACCATGTTGGCTAGGGTGAGAAGAAGAATAAGTCACAACATAGATGGGATACGTCCAGCTTGGACTTGGCGACGAATTTGAGGAAGCCCTGGCTTGTTCTCCGGCAGTGTTCCGGAGTGAAGACGCGCTCCGGCGTGTCGCGGCGGACTAGCGGTGGCTGGCCCTCCTTCCCCGTCACGCTCAGCGTGAACTTGGCCCTCACCTCCATGGCTGGGCCGAGATAACGCAGGTAGGAGGAGGCGTGGCCGTCCTCGTCGTCCGGGTAGAAGGCGATCTGCCAGTCATGGCCGCCGAAGCTGAAGACGGGCGAAGTGACGCGCGCGTGGAAGCCCGCGTCCTTGAGCTGCGAGTAGTTGGTCACCTCGAAACTGAACGACCCGGTGGCGTGCTTTATGATGCGTCTCGATGTGGACAACGCGCCCATCGTGACCGGCAGCGGCGGCGCCATCTTCGTGACCGGCGGCGGCACCGGTTCCTCCTGGCCGCGCGGTCGCCGGTCTTCGGAGCTCAGCTCCTGGCCCAATGCCGGAGAAGGGCACGCGGTGCGTCGTCGAGGTCGTCGGCGTGGAGGGTACGACGCCATGGTGATGGAGCACCTGCTGGAAAAGTTGAAACTCATGTGTGAAGAGGAGCTGTGCAGAAGGATCGATGAGGAGGCCGTCATGACCACGTACGTGCCGACGGATCAACACCGTTGTGTCCGACCTAAGGATGGGGTGCGCTTAGAGTTTAAGCCGCCAAAGAAAGTGTCGGGCACCGTCCTGAAGTTCAAGGAGCGCTTCATCTCGACGTGTTGCCGGCCGCTAGCATCGGAGGGAAGAGTCTTGGGGATCCAGGGACACGGATCGGATGGCAAAAGATCAGCCGTGTAGCACGCCTGACCGACTTCTTTCCACCGAGGAACACAATCGACCAAATTGCTAAAAGCACTGCAACGAAAGATTGTACAGGCTACACGTGAAAGCTACATGAATAATAGTCCCAGAACTACACTTGCAACAAAATATGACATTCATAGCAGCAACATCACACTTGCAAGATGGAGAAGAAAAGGGGGCCCACTTCACCATCTTACTCATTTACAATGTTTCACGGTACATACTGCTCTGCAAACGCAAAAGAACAGGTAAAATGTGTTGCCGCCAAGGCAGTCAAAGAATCGCTTCAATCTCCTCTCTATTTTCATATCAACTCCTCCCATGAACTCTCCCGAAAAATTAAACCATAAGCCACACCGACTATGGCTTATGACAAACGTTGCAAGTCCTCCCAATAAAAAGACGGACAATGACCAGCAACTAGTAGGTGAATTGACAGGGTAGGCAAAACTGCGAGTCCTCTTAGATGTATACCCCAAAAAGCCAAAGGGGTAAAGCCAAGATTCTTCTTCCAAAGAAATCAGATAACACAGCGGTATGACAAGTTTACATGTATTTGCCCGGATACATACTGGTCGCGGAAGGAACCATGATTGGATGAATGGCCTGGAATGGCTGCACAAGCGTTGCAGGGCTCGGCATCACCATGGGCAGGTTCCCAGTTGCCATGACTGGCGGAGCCCCAAAGAACGGGGCAGTGCCTGCTGAAGAGGGCATGAAAATATGGCATCAGTATGATAACAAAAACGCTTCAATACTTTTTATTATTATTCGATCAAAGACAATGAGGCTGAAACCTGCAATGTCTGTTACCTTGAAACTTTTGCAAGCTACCTTGATGCGAGTTCAACAGCAAAGGGCGAGGCCATACTTGGGACATAACTGGTGTTCCACGCATAGCATCCTTCAATAGAAAAAATAACAGATAAGACAGAATGAGCCAGAAGAAAATGTATGTCCATTCTAGTTCTCTTATCAAAATTCTGTGTCCGTTCCAGTTTATATTTACAGTAAACATTTGCGTTGTTGCACCAGGGTTTGTTACATGGATGAGATTTTAAGAAGCCAGCCGGTTAAGGAAAAAATTAAAAACCATTTGATAAGCAAGTGAATTTGATGCACAAAATAAGTCTATACAGCATCAGGGTCACAACATCCATCGCAAACACTGAAGCCGCAAGATACTAATGTGTGATGCTAATCTCCACTAACCAACGTTCAAGGTTTACCGAGGCAGTAAGATATCTATCTATATCTATACCTAATAATAAAGGGATTAGTGCTTCTGTCCATCAGTCATTAAATTACCCCTGGAGTTGTTAATAATTACCCACCTTGCCACCAGTAAGTGGAAAAAAACAGTTTACTTTTTCCCTTCTAAAATCACCGACAGCTACAGCTTATTAATAGTAAGCCCCTGACATACATCACAAGCGCCCGAGAGGCGTAGTGGTATGAGCCTCACTGCTTCACACCTGAGACCTGGGTTCGATCCCGAAGCTCCAGTTTCGGCCCAGCTACTCTATTTTTATCCTTTCTATTTTCAGGCAGATTCAAAAGAAAATATTTAATCATAACTTTCAAATCCCAACTCCAAAATTAACATGTTATATATGGAAATCACTCAAAAATGTGTAGATTTCAAATATGTTATTATATTAATCATTTCTAAAATTCCGTTTAGGATGCAACCTTAATTAATATCTTCTTTATATGGGGTATTTTGGAAATGCCGGCTTAACGTTGATATTTCTGTTCCCTAATAAATTGGAAACATCTTGAGTACACTTCAAAAATCATCAAACCTCATGTTTTTTGCGCAACACCACTTATCATGTTGTTTGTCGTGTGGCATCGTGAAGATTTCAAGGGATTCGATGTTGTCAGGTGTGAGTATGAGGGATGATTTTTTTTCCGTTGCAATGCACGGGCATGTTTTGCTAGTCTATTTCTAAAAACAATTTTATTTGCAAAGTTCAGCTTGGATAATTTCTAGATAGGCATGTTTCTACAATTATGCGTGTATCATCCTCCTCCTATGAAAGAGATCCCCTTGAACCCTTGATACAAACAGCAATGGCTCACCTGAGAAACTGGATGAACATAAACAACAGGACTGAATTTCCCATCGACCATCTATAAAGTATGAAATAAAACAATTTGGTTCAGCTGAGTAGCAAATGACAATAATTTCAACTAATAAATAGACACAAATGAACAGATTTCTAAATTAATATGGACTACATATCTTACTGAAAAATAAATATAGGACTTACAGGCTGAGGACTAGGGCTGATATAGGTTGATCCCACTTGCAAGGGGTGATATGGTGTACCGAGTCTTGCAGGATCTAGCCTTCCGACATTATGCCCCACAACCTGTCATGCAAAAAATGTAGACAGCAGCGTGCATCAAAATTCAGAAGCATGAACATATCATAGTTAACCATGTGTAAGAGTTGACATCTTATGTCGTATTTCGCTCGTATCACATGATATATAATATGGTGGTGCATCCAGCTAAAAGAAATCAAGTTACTTACTGATTGAACATATTGAGGTGACATTCCAAAGTTTCCAGGAGCCAGGTTATTATAATGAACAACCTTGCTGGATAGAGACGAACTGCCTGGATGCGAGTGAGTTTGAAATACAGGTACACCAGTTGGAACTCCAGAGACCGAGTTTGAGATATAGTTTGGGTTAACGGGGGATGCAGCTGCAAGTACTGGTCTGGAACTTGCAAAAGATGGAGCGAAGACCTTAGCATGGGGATTGAGTTTGGATTCCTGACATAATAATGTTAAAAGGCAAAATGAATAGACTGATAACAATGAACTGCATGTCATATATATAATGTAGTACTGAAGATGATAATAAAGCACAGGAAGGTTCATGAACACCAGTAAAAAAGGCATTGGAAGTAGGGCATGTACAAATGCAAGATGCATTTACATGGGTGCTTAAAGATGAGTATAGGCAAGTGCCAAAGTAAGAGGCGTCTCCTCATGCAAGACAACTACTCCCTCCGTACCGAAATACTTGTAGTTGGGGGAACTTTTACTAGTTTCCCCCAGCTACAAGTATTTCGGTACAGAGGTAGTATGTCTTGTAGAGGCTTAGATTGTTGTTTTATCTACCAATTAGATCAAAGATATATGCACAAGCACCTAAGACGTGCCAGCGCCTATTTAAGCATCGACAGTACAACATTAGAACAATTGTCCTACGTGGAAAGAAACAGTTCTCTTCTACACGCTCCCACCTGGCAATGTTGCACGTGCCTTATTTGAATCTTTTCAGAAAAAAGAAAACTTCTATGCATCATAATCCAAAATAGGAATGCACTATCATAGCAGCAATACTTTGGTCAAGAACATTGACCCTTGGCAGGCCGTATTTAATTTTACGACTAGGTTCTAAAGTATTTTCCCTGTGCATTCAGTTATCGACAATAATTTTATGTTTGGCATGAGAGTACTAAGTATAATGCTTAGAAAAGGCACACATTTAGGAAATAATTGAAATAATCAATAAATCAGTACACTTAAGCATTATGTGCGGAGTTGAGTTAATATATAAATTTGTATTTCAATACTTGCATCTGCAATAATATTATTAGCAACATAGTATTATACATTACTATTGAGAAAATGCATACATTTACAACATATTGCGATAATCAATAAATCAGTATAGTTAAGCATTGTACATAGTTGAAATAATACATAAATTCGTACAGTTTATTACTATGCTTTGCTCCAAATGGAGATACATGGCAGGGAGTACTACTTTATAAGGAAGAATAAGATGTAGACAAATCTATCGCTATTAACACATACCAAAAGAGCTCACCTTAGCAGTGGTTTTGCTTGACATGACAGCTTTAATAGATGAATTGTTGATGGGTTGAGATGTTTTAACATTTGAAGCTACCACAGGAGTAGCTAAAACTGAATTAACAACATTTCCCTCTTTTGATCCAATATCAGCAGAAGTTGGAATTGCATTCCAATTTGGCACTATATGTTCAATTGGAGAGCAGACATTTGCAGCATTACTGTTCACTGAGAAATCAGAAAGGTTTAGTGCAAGGAAGGGAAGGATGAAAGGGCTATCTGAATAGAAGACAAAAAGGGCTAGAGTTAGTACTTGGAGCAATTTTCCCAGTGGGGTTATCACTATTCTGACACAGCCTGCTGCACTTCTCAACCTGTCTGTGACAGAAATAGCATTAATGAAGGTCAACAATGAATAAGACATGGTAAAAATAAGCAGAATACAATCAAGTAGAATATATTGCTTGATGTACATTCTGAACCAGCAATGAAAAATTGTAACGGTTAAAGGTATCCAGTTACTGGGGGCAAGCAATCGGTATACTTTGGTGGATACACATTTACAGACCTGGATGCTTTTGGGTCTCCCAAATGTGAAGTTTGAGGCTGCGTCAATCCACTGGCTGCCACCACATCACAAGCACTAGTTTTAGAAATATCTTTAGTAGCAAGGGAGAAGTCCTGGCAAAACAACCATTTTTGTCAGCTCCATCAGAAGGCAATGTGTTTCAACTAACATATAAGTGCAGTAACCTACCTTTGCAATCACTTGCACAAGATCATCTGGGAGAACAACAAGAGTGTCCACAAAAGCTCCCAGCACTAGATTGGCATTGTCCTTTCCGTTTGCAATCTTCCTTGCTTTCTTTAGCACAACACCTGCTCAACACAAAACCATTAATCCAATGTGTTCTCCCCCAAAACTAAAATTTGGTAGAACACAACAAACATTATACTGCCCAAGACTCGAAAGTACGAAGTATATGAGCAGTTGACAAACTCAAATTATGAGGTAAAAAGGACTTAAAGGAGTTGAGACTATCAGATCACAGTAGAGATGATGTGAAATCAAGGTCAATCCACAAATTGTGCGCATGATCTCCCAAGGAAAAGGATATTTCCTGGAGAACTTGCAAAAAAATCTAAGAGAACGAATTAATAAGCAAAATAAAGGGACTGATGTAGCAATATTGCCCCCAACGCGGAAATCCCAAGAGCAATTAGAATACATAAACCACATCATTTTCAATGGTATCGAGAAATCCACCCGGAATTGTTCATCACAGCTCAAATGTAGAGTGAAACCGAACCGGTAATTTCATTACACTGCATGTCCTTCATAATGCCCGATAATAACTATTTACCTTTGTACTGTTGTTGGATCTCACAATCGAGCATAATCGCTTTGATCACGGAATGAAAGCATTCGTCTATTATGACTCATTTCCACAACATAGCACGCACCAAGTCCCCCCAGAGACCAAAAACAGCAACAAGGGGCAAGGGAATTCGCCCCTAAATCCACAAGAATGATTCATACAACATCGCTGCAGCACGTGATCTGTAACTGGAACAGGGAAAGCAGAAACACTTTTCCCGTGATCTGGATGAACTGCATTTGAATCCACCCTGATGCGCAAGAGATCCTCCATATGACGCTTCAGGCTCACGGCAGGGCGGCGATATAGGAAGGAGAGAAGGGAGAAGGAAACAATCTAGATGCACTTGCATTGTAGAAACCCGGATCGCTCGAACCAATCCAGATACAATTCCCAGCACAATTTCTCCCCGAAATCAGGAAGACCGAACGACCAGGATCTCGGCCTCTATAGAGCAGAGCACACGCAGCCGCCCCCGTCGCAGAAGATGAACATAACCCAGCGATCTCCACCACCCGCCCCCGAATCCGCCCCAGCCCCAGCGCCAGAACAAAATACTAGCAACACGCGGCATCCCGGCGGCCGCGGCAGGTCGAGGAACAAGCAGATCACAGCCCATTCCCAGGAAAAAATAAACAGGGACGAACCAGGTCGGGTCGCGTCACTAGGCACGCGGCATCCACTATCTCCACCGAGCAGCCGGATCACGGCCCGAGCGGCCATTCGCGTGATCCCGGGACCCGACGCCGTCCCCGAACCAGACCCACGAGAGATGGAGGGAGGGAGGGGGGAGAGGGGGGCGCGCACCGTATCCGGCGTCGAGGGAGGCGGTGTGGAAGACGCCGGCGTAGGCGGATCCGTCGCGGACCTGGACCTCAACGGGGAGGCCGACCATGCAGACGGTCGCCAGCAGCAGCGCCTCGCAGACGGCCGGCGGCGCCGGCGCCGGCGCCGCCTTGGCCTTTTTGGGGCGGGCCATGGGGTGGTGGGGAGGAGAGGGGGGAGGCGACGAGGCAGAGGCCAGGGTGGGCGGAAAGGCGAGCGAGAGGGGGAAGGAGCCCGGGCGGGCGCGTGCCGCGTGCGGCCGTGTGTCTGACGGACGGGTCGGATTTGGATCGAGGAGGTCGCGGATCTTGATGCATGCGCGCGCGCGCGACAACGGCAAGGAATCTCGGGCTGTACATGTGCTACAGCGCCCTGTCTGGAATTATGGCTGGCTCTGGCTGCCTTTCTCGTCACCCTTGTCGCTTTGCAGCTGGCGTCTGTAGCTCTGTGATTACTTTAGTTTTTTTTTCATATGGTGATTCAAAATGTTGGTTCTACTTTCTACTAATGCACTACGTTAAGTAATCAGGGCCACTCCGACGCCGTACACCAGGGAGAGAGGACTCCTTCAAACCATTTCTAGATTTCCACGGACATTTAGAAGCGATTTGATGTACCGCGCTTATCTTCAGATTCGTCATCCATCCGTTAGCTATATACATAGCCAATTTGTCATCAAATGTTTCATTAGTTAGCTGCATACATAGCCGGGTAATAGTTTTTAATTTTTCGTGAGATCAAATGTTATTCTGTTCTTTTCCAATCGATGGTCTTTGAGTATTGTATTACTCACTTCGTCCCATAACATAAAAGAGTTTTTTGACACTCTTAGAACTAATTTGGTTGCAAGGGGAGAATATCTCAGGGCTCTAATCCTCCACCGGGAGATTTCCATGCCCATGGGGGATCCTCTCCTTCTATGACAGGGAGATCACCTCTGCAATTTGGAGGACAGTGGAGAGGGGAGGAGATCGCTAGATGCGCCAGCGTCAGGCGTGGCTTTTCTCCCCGACATATATAGGCATGGTTTTCTCTCCCAGGGAAAGGAAGGGGATCAGGGGAGAATATCCCAGCAAGCGAGCAGACCAAATGTCGCGGTGGTTTTGCACGGCGAGTTCGCCTCGTGGGCTATGTGCCCTGGGTTTTGACGGGGATCTTCCCCTGGGATCACAGGCTACCAAACTAGCCGACCAAGGGAGTAGTAGAAAGTAGAAACAAAATGCTCTGCTCTTGCAGTAAAAAAGATATATGTACGGAGCAATTATTAGATATAAACAGAACAATAGATAGAACCAAAATGTCACCAAACAAAAGGGAGATCACAACTACGACTACAAAGACATCAAAATAATTGACGAATCCACGGCTGAACCAAGTGCTAATCAAACCATTCTAGTAATACTGTATGAAACAAACACTATCAAACGAAATTCCACGGTCGACAGCACCAAGCATGCCATGCCCTGTGATCTGATCTGCCCATGTGGCCGATCAGGCCACCAGACCAAAGCTGTTGGGTTATCATCTTCTCTGATAAAAGGAAGAATCCAAACCACAAAGCAACAACATAAACAAATGCAGCAGGAAGCAAACGGTACAAATAGTATATAATTTAACAGCAGAAGATAGCAACGGTAAATAACAGTAGACAAGGGCATGCGGCGAAACAAAGCTAAGTTTCCAAGTACATATCCAAAGGATCACCACAGCGGGACGGACAACAGCTGATCATAATATAGTGCATAATAACATAACAATAGACCTTGCCATGGGGCAATCAAAATCCGGAGTCCAGGAACCGTCTCTCTCTATCGACAGGTGCTACAACATTAGCCTTGACAGTGCCTTCAAACAGGGGTTCTCATCTGTCTGGACGACCCACGAGGAGGGCTCACTGCAGAAATGGAAAGTTTTAGATTAGCCAGGCTGCTGGTGGTATTAAGTACTAATAAGATTATCAAGAGCTAAGATTTGCGCTTATATAGATAGGGGACTTCACCTGTTGCGGTGGCGGTGGCTGCGGTGCCGCTGCTGGTTGTTGGTAGTTGGGATAACCAGCATAGGCTCCATAACCATACATGTTAGGGTCTTGAGGCTGTGCATACCCTTGTCCATAAGCCTCGTAGCCTTGTCCATATCCAGCATAGTAACCACCAGCAGCACCAGCAGCAGCACCTGCACCCCACTGGCTGGCTTCCTGAGGCTGAAAATGTTCATGTGTTATATATTACCCACTTTACATCTAGTATACATACAACTCAAGACAGGATAGAAGTTTAGCATGCAAGAATTAAACCTGAGTTTGTTTGTTTGAAGGGCTTCGTCCCCATGAAAGCCTCACATTCTGACCACCAACCAAGGTCCCTTGCAGCAATTGCAGAGCTTGCTCAGCAGAAGGCCTGAATATGCAGTCAGAAGAGTAACTTAGAAGGAAGTACTTCAAAAATACGCGCACAAGAAACAACTAAACTATTAAACAGAAAAAAATCGACCTGTTAGCATACTGAACAAAGCCACATCTCTTCCCAACAGGGATCTTGACATGGACAACTTCCCCATATGGAGCAAACACTTGTTTCAAGGCATCTTCAGTGACATTGGGGTCAAGGCCACCAACAAATATCTGAGACCAAAGAAACAACTATGTTCAACACACTGAAATTCAATTGGTGTAATACAGAAAAGTAGAACTAAGAACGCACGGTGGTATTGTTAGGATCATTGTCAGACTGAGCTCCTTGAGTATTTGTATTTGGAATTGGTACTGTAAATGAAAGCAAAAAAAAGTGAAGGAAATACGTTGTAAGACTTGTTAAATAACAAAGAATAAATAAACATGAATGCATATCATGCAAGAGACACAAAATTTAAATGATAAATATACCATGTCACTAAAGCAGTGCAAAAGCTAAATAAATAAATAACATGTGACTAAAGCAGTGCATAATAAGATAGATAAATAAATAAGGAATAACTACCAAAAGGTCATACAAAATTCACTTAGCAAAAATTTGAGATGGGAAGTTTAACTCTCAATGCATGTGGAAGGGATTCCATCTCTCAACTGCTAAACTCTGGTGAACGAAGCAATCACGACACAATATACCAGTTTACTTTGCATGTGTATATTCTGATTGAGCATGGGCCATAGCATTTTTATTTATACACAGGAAAGGTGTTCTAAAGATATACATACATTATAGTGACAGATAACTAGTACTCCCTCCGTCCCGAAGTAAGTGTCGCTGACTTGGTACAACTTTGTACTAAAGTTGTTTTTGGGGACGGAGGGAGTAGGAAAGTAAAAAATAAATAGAAGAACCAGAAACAGACTACAAACTTAGGACAGCAAACTTAAGGCATAACTGATTTAAACAAGAAATGCCACAGCTCAAGTCAATTGCAGGGCATATATGGTGGAACTGTTGATATGCTGCTTCCGGATAGCATGAGTTTACTATATTTTATTTATCTAATTGAGCATTAAATGATGCAAATCCATGCTGAAACCATTATACTAATGAATAATGTCTTCTTGCATGCAAAAAAAAAGGTAATACCTAGCTTTGCATTGTTCAGACACAAACAAGTAGAACAACATGAATTTATAAAAGGACAAAGGCACCATAAAACATAGCAATCAGGTATGCATGAGAAGTAAATGTATACATGTAATAGCAGAAGGCCATTGCAGCGACATGAGATTGACAACATTTACCTCTCTCCTGAACCCCAGTTGTCTTTCTATTTGCTGCTGGACCAATGCGCATAGGTCTGGAAGAACAGGGCATTCCATTCATTTCAGTCATGGCACGAGCTTGCTCTGTAGGGTCACCAAACTTCACAAACCCATAACCTTTTGAACGCATTGTCATCTTGTCAGTTACAACCTTTGCGCCCTTCACTGAAGGGTAATGGACCCTGAATGTCTCCTGTAACATGTAGTCTGTAACATCAGCTGCCAAATCCCCAACAAAGATTGTATAGTCCGGGGTATCATCACGCTTTTCACCAGCACTGGCCCAGTTCAGTCTGTATGCCAACTCAACATTTGGCATCATTTGACCATTGAATGTCTGAAGAACTCGCTCAGCGCCTGCATGGCTTGCAAACTCGACAAAGCCATAGCCCTGAAGCTGTCCAGTTTGCTTGTCACGGATAAGCTTCACAGATTGGAACTGCAAATTAACAAAAAAGGTCATCTTTAGCAACTTTACATATAACACATGGTCTGCAGAACATGCACACACATGTGTAAAAGGGTACATATATAAGCAGGAACAAACACATCAGTTAACTAGAGAATTTTTATTTTCACAAGACGCAGTTGACAGTTTTAGTCTTCACAACACCAATCATACAACCGTGCCAAAACACCCAACTGCTCCAGAACCACAGCTAAAGCTTGATTTTCTTTCCCTGTGACGAAGACATAATCCACGGAAAAGTAACTCGCCTCGCAGTTCTACCATCACAACTAAATCCCTAACCCTTTTACATCTAGACCCGCGACGCGCGTGCATCCACTAGGGCAAGCCGAGCCCGAACAAATCTCGCATCAGAGCGACGGGCCGAACGAATCTGGCGTCGGACAGATCGGGACACGTACCTCCCCGGTGTTGGCGAAGCAGCTGTAGATGTAGTTCTCGTCCATCCAGTACTGGAGGTCCCCGATCCAGAGCGTCCTGACCTCGTCCGAGGCCGCGGGGGCGGCGGGGGCCTGCGGCGCGGCGTAGTACTGCTGCGGGGCGGGCACCTGGCCGTAGGGCGCGGCCTGGGGCGGCGGCTGGCCCCACATGGCCTGCGGCGGCGGCTGCTGCTGCGGGGGCGGCTGCGCGTAGTGGGGCATCGGCGGCGGGATCGCGCCCCAGTGCGGCGGCTGCCCTCCCGCGCCCTGCGGCGGCATGGGGGCGCCCATGCCCGGCTGCGGCTGCGACGGCGGCGGTGGCTGCATCATGGCGACGGGGGAGGAGAGACCCGAACCCTAGGGAGGAGAGAGGGGGAGGGGAGAGGGACGGGAGAGA